AATATCATAAGCAGAGCTGTAATATAATAATTTTGATATTCGGCAAAACATACAAGAGAAGTTAACTAATTTTGAATTGAAATGGTTAATATAATGCGTAACGGATTTGATTATATGAAAAGTGGGAGTCAAATAATTATAAACTCAACATTTATCAGGGGCCCGTTGACTAGTCAAGGGGAAACTTCTAAGTTCTAAAGATATATTCACTATTTTAATTAAATTAAGCAAATTAGGGAAAAGTAAAGAAGATGATAAACCTTTTTCATTTCATATCCTACGTTGTCTCGTCGTTTAATAAAATAGATGCGACGCTTAAGCGTATATAAAAATAGATTTTTTTTTTTATTATCATATGATTTAATTTGTCTGACTGTAAAATCATATGATAATAAAAACTCCTAAGCGTAAATGGAACTTCTCGTGGAGTTTTAAGTTCTAATCAATTTATTTATTATATATTTTACATTAATATGTTATAAGAACTTTTTTAATAGATTTTATTTTTTTTTTCTTCTAATAGTAAAACTTCATTAGAGATTCTTAATAATAATAAAAAAATATAAAAAAATTTTATTAAGTAAAATTTATTTTTTTAAAATTTATAAACATAGTATATTAAATAAATAAAAAATATATTGCATTTAATAAATACATTGTACGCGTGTTTATGTTTTTTATTTTGTCAAAAAAATCTACGAATCAAAGGGTGACACGTAACACATAAGAACTAGTTCTTAAATCTTTTAATTAATAATCGGTTTTTAATAATATAACCAATTTTTATTTAAATTTAATTTATTTTGTCTTGCGAACTTGACCACTGCACATGTCCTAATTGATATTTTGATGGAATATACATAACTGTATGATTTGAGGGTTTTTGTCGGAGTACAGTATTTAATTTATCTAGAGAGAGTTGCATGACGAAATTTATGAATCAAATAAAAGGTTTTTTTTTTGTTCTATAGACTTAAAATTTCATTTAGTTCTAACAAAATGATATTTCAACTCTTGAATAGCAACAGTTGAGAAACAAAAATCTCCATTTCTAGTGGTTCTTTATTATTTGAACAAAATGATATTTGAACTCTTAAATGTTATACTGGTTCTTTATTATTTTGTATTAAATAAATATTTATATTATCAGGTGATATGAATTTGTTATCATCCGACTGATCATTACATCTATCGAGTCAAAGTTTTAATAAATTTAAGATGTGACATCATTTTGATTTGTCAAATGAAAATGACTAAACAATTTTATGATTATGGTGAATTGATCTTTTAAACTAGTCATAATTTCTCAATAGGAGAACATTTAATCCATTACCTCTTAGTTAATAAATAAAAACTTATTTCATTAAAAACTATGCTAATGCAAAGTCTTTTATATATCCTTATAGAAAAAGGAATAAGATCCACTATAAAAACAGGAAAAACAAAAACTGCAACTCGCAAACACACAACAAAAATGCACCTTGGGTTGGTGGGCACGTTTTTTTGCTCTAATGGAGCAAACTTGCCACCAATTTTTCATTCCTTCGCTTGAGGATTCGATTAGTTCTATCTATAATTAGTGACACGTTTTTGTTTTTGTTTTTTTAGACACGTTTTGTTACTAAAGTTTTTTT